CACACACACACACACACACACACACACACACACACACACGATTATTTTATTGCTTAGTAATTATTTTATTACTTATTGCAAATCTGAAAAGTAATGATAAGAATATCTTTCCTGCTTGCTTTACAATGGTTCAACCTAATTTTGTATGCATTGGGCCATGGGCTAGGTGGTTAGGATAGAAAGGTAAATAAAACAGGATTGTTGTGCTCAAAGTCAAGTAGATCATAAGGACTGACAATACGTATACGCTTGTGTCCATTTGCATATATCTATCTGTAACACTAAACAATTAAGATTTCACAGATCATAATTTGGTGTTAAGATTTCATAAAATTCCTCTGGAAGACAAAAACACATTCCAGATAAAGAAAAACTCAGAAAAGTTAGCATCCATTGAAGATCATTCAGGTAACGTGCTTTATGTTGCATTACCAAGCTAGCAAAGTCACCAAAAAGAACATAACGAACTCTGCCGAGACAAAGGAAAGGGGAGCATTTACTCCAGAAGAGGTGATGTGTACGTCTGACTACAGGTGCAATCATCCTCCAAATGTGCAATGATACAAAAGGACAGTGAGGAAGAAACAGAGGGAACCAAGGATGCCGGGTACTCAAGTGGCGGTAAATGGCACACTGTGATGAGGCTCTGTTTACAAGAGAGAAAATGATGAGCTAGCAACAAATCAGAACTGGATTGGAAAGGATTTGGGACCACCATGTACTGGGGTCCACCTCACAGGTTGCTGCAGAACCCCCCATAGCTCGAAGTGCGGTCAAAAGGAGAATAGATGTGAAATGACTGCGAAACTGGACAAGTCTAGAACAATAAATGGGCTGGCTATTTAGAAGAGAATGGAAATAGAAAAATCTCAATCTCTCTCTCCCTTCTGATATCTCTACACAGCCCAAGAAGACCTTGAAATTTCAATCCTCCTGTTCCAGCTCTGGAATGCTTGGATTATAGGTATATGCCACTAAATCCAACTAACATTATCATTTTTTTTTCCTTTTTTTAGGTCATGGGAACAACATCTTCAATATCCTGTCTATTTCAGACATACCCAATAACTGGCCTTATTTCTTAGGGGCACAATGAAATTACTTCTATGAACACCAAAGGACAAATGTCATTCTTCACTGTGTAGGGAAAAGTACCTAGACATTACTGCCTTCTTTCACTGTGTCTCACACAGACTTAAATCTGTTCACAAAGCTTCTTTAAGAGGAAAATGGGCTTTGTTTTTCATTTTTAATTTAATTTAATTTAATGTGTATGGGTGCTTTATTTATATGCATGTCTTTGTACACATGCATGCAGTGCCCCTGGAGGCCAGAAGAAGGTGTCAGATCTCCTAACTGGAATTACAGTTGTGGGCCACCCTGTGGGTGCTGGAAATCAACCATGAGTCTTCCAGAAGAACAGCCAGTGCTCTTAACCACTGAGCCATCTCTCTAGATTTTTTTTAATGTTGCAAATTAACTTGATAGTAGCTAGTATCATATACAATATACCACATTTTACATGTTGTTTTGTTATTTTGTTATGTTTTAAATTCCAGTAATTTATTTTCTATAAAGTAGGAGGGTATTTGGCTAACAGTTTGTCATAGATCATCACAGGATAAAATGTTGTTATTAGATGAAGAAGTCTTTTCTTTAATGGCCCATTTAATCTTCTATGGTTATTTATTAGAACATCTATAACAATCTGAGTTGCTATCTGGGAGGAAAGACCACTGCTAAAACCTGGAGAAAAAGGGTAGACCAGCCCAGACCTAATGGAAAAGTTATCCCCAATTTGGGGGAAAGAGTTACTGAACTCAAGAGATAAACAATGATACACAAACACTATTAGAATATTATTTCTAATAGCCCGAAGTGAAAACAACCTGAATATCTACCAACTGGTAAATGAATATCTGATACAAAGAAATACTAATCAAAACCAAGATGAAGTTAATCATTGATACACACTACATGGATGAATCTCAAAGCATGTTAACTATAGAAGTCAGGCACAGGTAACTAACTACATGTTGTGACGTTCCAATTATTCAAAATGTCCAGAAAACCCAAATGTATAAAGATAGGAAGCAGATTAGTGGCAGCCACCTAGGTTCTAGCAAAGAAGCATGTGACATAAAACTTATACAGTCAGTGACACAGTCATCATATGAAGTTGACAGATATGTGCCAATACTGATTGATGGTGACGGATGCATAGCTTGGTAAATAAACTGAGGGGAAAACTTGTATTCTTGAAATAAGTTAATAACATGATTTGTAAAAACACATCTTAAGAAAGTCATTGTTTTAAATCCACAGTAACAGTTTACAGCAAAAAGAACTTAAATTGTTTGGTTTCCATGGTGCAATTAGCTAGCTCTGTGGCCATGACGTGGAACTTCCTCTCTTGGCCTCACTGCTTACCACAAAATAAAGAGAATGGGCAATTAATTTGATGCCAAAGGCCTCGGGTTCTAGAGTTGTGTGTGTCTGGATTTTTTGTTTGCTATTGGGTGTTTTTTTTTGTTTTGTTTGTTTGTTTGTTTGTTTGTCAAGACAGGGTTTCTCTATGTAGCCCTTGCTGTCCTGGAACTTGCTCTGTAGACCAGGCTGGCCTTGAACTCACAGAGATCTGCCTGCCTCCTGAGTGCTGGGATTAAAGGCATGCACCACCACTGCCCAGCATGTGTCTGGATTTTCATGTGTCATGTAATAGTGACAGCAGCAGCATTCTTGAGTTTCGTTTCCTTCTGGTACCTGTACCTCTTTCTGATTTATGTGTGTGTGTGTGTGTGTGTGTGTGTGTGTATGCATACATATATACAGATATATGTATGTATGTATAATTATCTGTATCTTGAACCTGGTTCTATTAATGTTACTTACTCCTAATCCTATGTTTACATGCTGCTCGTTTTCAAAAGTATTCCCGACTACAACCTACTAAGCACATTACTCCTCTAAAGAGGACCTCAAGGTCACCGGAAGGGTTGAGTCCACACTAACTGAGGACTGCCAACTCCCATCTAGGGGAAGTCTTTCTGTCAGGTGAGGCTTTAGCTACTTCAACATGATGTAGAGTTGTCTGAACTTGGCAGTCATTTGTTGATCAAAATGTCAGGTTGGACTAAATCAAAAGCTTTCCTAGAGTCTATGTAGACAGTATCAATTTTTTCACTATGCTGGACTCTTGCTCTGCCCAGTGTCAAGGATGATACGGTTGAACACAATCTTTTCTTTACAAAGCCTGCTCTTTACTTCCCTCTGCTCTCAGGGGAGGCCAGCAATTGCTCACTTGCTCCAGTGAAGAAGTTTGGATTGTTTCAGCTTCTCTTTTGTTTCCTCTACTAACCTCCCAGGTACCCAAGCATTAAGAAGGGAAAGGATATAATTCTTATGTCCAGATACATATTTATAATATAATA